TAACTTCATTCCAATAATGAAGCTCTTGCAAATGGCATCTCTCCTGTACTTTCTGAATCTATTATATATAAATAATTTACCTTGTTCATTAAAAAATTATACGGTACATCATTATGCTGACGTTACCAATATATCAATAAACCACTTACGAATCATTGTAAAAAAGTTAATCAATATCTTCATCGCTTATGTAATTGGTTAAATAATAATCGTATTTTGTTGAACGCCAATAAAAGTGAATACATTATTTTTCATTCCCCTCAAAAAATTATTGATAACATTAAAATTAAAATTATTGGAAAAAACTTCTTTCGTCAAAATATATAAGGTATCTTGAAGTATATCTTGATGAAAACTTATTTTGCTATAAACAAATAGTATCTTAAAAAAACTTACACAAGCTAACAGTATTCTCTCTTTAATTCGTTATTATGTTCGTATCAAAACTCTTTTTAAATGAAAGTTTTCCAAAATCAAAAAAAAAGTAACAACTGTAAAAAAAAAAAAAAGTAATAACTGTAAATAATTGTTCATGGATCGCAAAAGGAATAAAAAAATTCTTAAAACAAATATTTTACTTAAAATATCCGAAAAATTAGAACCAAGTGAAAAGAGTGGTATCTCTAAAGCGATTCAACGATTACTTTTCCAACTTTGGTACTGATTTTGCGTCTAGACTTCATTGCCCAAAAACTTCATTTGAAAGTCACTTAACGACCTTTCACTGCTCCTTAAACTGAAACGAATTAAAACATGACAAACTTGAATAAGCTATTAAATTACTCAAAAAAAATCAGCTACTGATGACATTCCTTCTAAGGTAGTACTAGATATTTTTCATCAGGATTAAATCATTTAACAATTAAAAATTTGCATTGAGTATATTGACTTATCAAGAGCGTTTGACATCGTCAATCATGAAGTTTTACTTAAAAAAAAAAGTATGGTGAACAATATCAAGTCTTAATAACAGACAACAGTGTTTTATTATAAATAAAAATAACAAATAAAATTTAATTTCTAAAAATAATAAAACTTGAAAACTAAATTTAGTGTACTCCAAGGTTCCGTACTTACTCCATTTTGTTTCTAATTTATATAAATAACCTTCCAAATACGCCAAACAGCTTTACAACTATGATGTTTGCAGATGACAAATACTTATTCTACTTCTCAACGACAATCGAAAACCTTTTTTCAAATACAAATATTGAGCTAAAAAAAACTGACATATGGTTTTAGAAAAAGATATATATATATACTATTTCACTCTAATTAACAAAAAATAAGGTACCCTTAATACTACCAACAACTAATATTATGCAGCCGAAGCGCAGTGGTAACGCACTTGACTTAGAATCAATGGATCCGTGGTTCAAACCCCAACTCTAGGCAAGTTTTGCGACAACGCTTAGGAAGGAGGCATAAACTTCTTTTTTAATGTTCATCCGCGGTGCTCTGTGATAAGACCATAAGGACTTCTTGGGGCACCTAAATAAAATTAAAAAATGTATATATATATATATATATATATATATATATATATATATATATATATATATATATATATATATATATATATATATATATATATATATATATATATAAAGTAGTAGAAAATCACTTAGCGAAAACTTTTTTCATTAAACATTGTGTTAGTTCAATTTCGCTTTTTTGTATTCTTTTTTTCAGAGTCAAATTTTAGTTTTTAAAAAATTTAAAAAAAAAATTTTGAACTAAAATTTGACTCTGAAAAAAAGAATACAAAAAAGCAAAAAAGAACTAGAAATGTAATTTGGTTCAACCCCCTATATAGCAAAAATACTTCCACTAACATAGGTAAAGTGTTTTTAAATTTAGTCGATAAGCATTTTCCGCCCTCTAATAAATTACATAAAATTTTTATTCGAAATACAATTAAAGTTAGCTACAGTTGCACAAAAAAATATGGAAACAATTATAAAAGGTCACAATAATGCTTTGTTAAACAAAAAAAAATCCTAAATGAAAAAACTACAGAAAATTGTAATTGTAAACAAAAGAAAAAATTGTTCAATGAGTGGAAGTTGTTTATCAAAAAATGTGGTATATAAATGTGTTGTTTCCTCTAAGAATGTACCTGATAAACAATATATTGCATAACAGAAGGTGAATGGAAAAAACGTTTTGCCAATCATAAGCTATCCTTTAAAAAAAAAAGTATTCAAAAGACACCATGCTGTCAAAATATATATGGGAATTAAACGATAAAAATATTGATGATTTTACAATGAATTAGTCCATCCCTAAAACAGCACCTGCATATAACAATATTTCCAAAAAATGCATACTATGCCTACAAGAAAAGATTGAAATTATTACACATGCAAAATAAGAATATTTATTAAACAAAAAATCGGAATTAATTTCTAAATGCTGGTACGAAAATAAGTTTCTTCTAAAAAAACTATAAAAATAAGTGAGCTCAAATAATAATTACATTAAATCCCCCCTTTTAAAAAAGATTTTTTTTAAAAAGCAGAAGTAATTAATTCTAAAGAATTCTTTTTATAATAGTTTTATAAAAATCGCGTTAAAAATTTTAAAAGTCAAAGAAAAAAGTTTAAAAAAAAATACTATTCAAACCTACTAGAGAAGTTTAAACATAACTCAAAGCGCACGTGGCAAGTTTTAAATGAAATCACTGGTAACCATAAGATTAAAACATGCAACTTACCAAAAGTTATTAGAAACAATGATAATTTCATATATAATCCAAAAGATATAGCTAATCAGATAAATAACTTTTTTGTATCTGTTGGTCCTAATCTAGCAAAAAATATTCCAGTTGTAACCAACAAAACAAATTATTTTAGCCTTCCCAAAATTTCTGTACTTAAGAAATTTCAATGAAAGAATTTGAATGTGCTTATAAAATGCAAACACAAATAAAGCGAGAGGTCTGGACGAAATAAATAGTAACATTATATTATCTTAAGAGATCATAAAAACTATCTATTCAAAGTGTTTAGTTACTCAATAAAACAAGGAATATTTCCTAACCAACTAAAGATCGCTAAAGTTACTCCAATGTATAAAGGTGGCGAATTATCAAATATAAGTAATTATCGACCAATATCTGTACTCTATGGCTTTTCAAAGGTTTTTGAAAAGATTCTTTACAACAAAATATATGAACATCTTTCTAAAAATAAAATATTAAATGCCAGTCAATATGGATTCAAAAAAAATAATTCCACGGAATACGCCATACTTCATGTAACTAGTAATATTGCAGATTCTTTTGAGAAATCACAATTTACTCTTGGAGTTTTCATTGATCTATCAAAAGCCTTTGATACGATAGATCATGAGATTCTTATAAAAAAACTTAAAAACTATGGAATTAGCGGAAATTTATTAAATTTGCTAAAAAGCTATCTAAGCAATCGTAAACAGTTTGTGCAAATTGACGTATTTTCATCAACAAGTTTACTAGATATAACATGTGGTGTTCCTCAAGGGTCTATACTAGGGCCACTACTTTTTCTCATTTATGTTAACGATCTGCACAGTGCCTCAAATTTGAAGACAGTAATGTTTGCTGATGATACAAATCTTTTTCTATCCGGTAAAAATATCATTACACTATTTAATGAAATTAACATAGAACTAATTAAAATTTCAAATTGGTTTAAGTCAAATAAACTATCAATTAACTTGGAAAAAACTAAATGGACTTTATTTCATTCAAAATCCCAAAAAAGACTTTTACCAAATGATATGCCTCAATTATATATTGACAATGTTCAAATAAAAAAATCAAAAGTTATACATTTTCTTGGTGTTTTCATTGATGAAAATCTAACATGGAAAAACCATATCAAAATTTTGCGCAATAAAGTTTCAAAAAATATTGGAGTAATGTATAAAGAGAGAAATTTTGAAATTATTATAAGTATTTTAATTTTTATGTAATTTTGTAGATATGGGAAAAGGTGGTGATCTGAGTCTGTAAAAGAGAGAAAAAGTAGATGCTTTATTAAAATTGGGGATTATAACGCAGAGGGAAATCGGTGAATCTGTAGGCTTAACTCAAAAGGCAGTCTACACAATAAAGCAGAGGCTAGACTTTCGTCAATCCTTATTCCCATAACGTTCTACAATAGGGAGAAAGAAACCATCGCTCCACGTTCCGAATAATTCTTGTGTCTAAATGCCGGTAGAATCAAAAATTTACCAGTTATATATATATATATATATATATATATATATATATATATATATATATATATATATATATATATATATATATATATATATATATATATATATATATATATATATATATATATATATATATATATATATATATATATATATATATATATATATATATATATATATATATATATATATATATATATATATATATATATATATATATATATATATATATATAATGGATTTTGAGTTTATTAATTTATTCAGGTTCTTAGTTTTTTATTTCTTAGTTTAATTTTTTGAAGCGGAAATTCGTAACTTTATCTGAATACCGCAACTGCAAGTAGCAACCGCTCGATACAGACCTTTGTCGTCTCCGTTGCCGTTGCAGTTTTCATATCGTAAACCCTCTATTATCTACAGCAAAACAATGTTGCAGTGTTGAATTGTCGCCCTATCGCCTGACATGAATCCTATTAAAAATTTTTAAATGATTGTTAAGCGCAGAATTGCAGCCAGAAAACCAATAACAAGAGTAGCTGCACTGATCACGGCACTATAGACGTCTGGGTACATAACCCAGAGATACAGGAAATCTGCCTAATATTGGTTTCTGGAATGCCTAAGGGGGTTGAGAAGGACCTCTCAAGGCAAAAGGAAGGGTTACAAAATACTGATGGATTTTGTTTCTAACATTTAAAAAAAAACAGTGATTTTTTTCTAATATTATGAATAAAAATGTGAACTTGGGAAATTTTTCTCACCGCTGTAGATCAGACAAATGCCGGTGTTTTTTTTTGTTTTATCAACATCGGCAACAACAACGGCATTTACTACTGTAATCCCGTCAAAAGGGTTCTTTTACACACGTTTTAACCTGAGTCCTCATTGAGTTTTTCACAACTCTAAAACTCCACTTTACACAAAAAAAGAATTCTCAAAGGAGGAAAGAAAAAATGATTATTGATGATGACTTAGGTAATTTACTTTTAAAATCACTATTATCTTAATATATTTGATTATAAACTAATAACATTTGATAATTTTTTAAAATAATTTTGTCCGACGCAAAATAGTTTTCATCTTTGATTCATTGATTTTTAATATGATTAGAAATTAGATGCTTTTTAAAATTACTTGCTAATAAATGTACTTAATTGGTAATCAATTTAGTTCATTTACCATACCAATACTATGTATTGAGTAATTGTATTTGAAAGTAACTCAAATTGCTTTATTTTGTAGCAGCTGAAGGAATTGAAAGTTTTTGTCATATATAAAATATGCTGTTTAAAATTCAAAAAATTATAACCTAGATATTTCAATTTCACATGATTTAATTGCCAAATCATTCAATCTATGTTCAGGTTAGGAGAAACTTAAGTTAATTGTATTTTTATTTATTTATTTAGATAATTTAATAAGCATTGATGATTGTTGTTACTGTATGCTCTTGTTACTGTATTATTCTCGTTCTATTTTAAAGTCTGTTAGCAGGTCGTCACGTTTTTTGTCAGTTTAATAACTGTTTGTGACTGATCCTAACTTTGTATTTACTTTATAAAGTGAAATAAAATTATTGATTGATTGATTGATATATCTATTATCAGGGCATGCTGGGGTTTTTCCATTTCATAGTCAGCTGCTTCATTATATGTTTCATCTTTTTCCCAGTAAGATATAATGTTATTATCTCTTATTTTTTTTTTCTTTTTCATCAATTTTTTAAAAGTCTTTTAGAAATCTTAGCTTTAATTTGAGCATGCTGTAAACAATTTCTTTTTTACATGTCCTTCCTGAGTAGGCAACTTGACTAACTTTTCTTATTAGAATTTATCAAGACTTTCCAGATTATCAGTAGTTCTATTCTTTTTTGATCTTGTAATAGATATATTATATTTCTGCATCAGGGGATCTACCTTTGGCATCATTAAACATTCGCATTAGATCATCACTATTTATATTATGTAACTTACTGACTTTAGGATAAGTGTCTTATTTATTGCCGATTAAAGGTATTTTCTAGTCATTTTCAAGTCAAGCAGTATTTACGTTGGTCAGCTGGTCAACAATGAAGCATAGTTTTGTAACCGGTTCTAAAATATTAAAGTGGAAAACCCACAAAATCTGTTGTTCTAGAAAATAATGCAAATAGATTAGATCTACAATTTTGAATTATTTTCAAACCATCGTTCACTAATTGGATAAATTAAAAATATCCATGGTCCATTAAGAAGTTTGATGAAGAGTTTAAGTATGTACATTTGTTTTATAATGATTGTATTACAAAGTGCAGCTTGCAGAACTGCTTGTAAATTTTCACATTGTTCTGATGGTCAAAAAATGCTTAAACTAACTGTAGTTTTTTTATAAAAACAAAATAAGTATGGAAAAAAAATGTTAAGATGGTTTTCACAATACCAAAGAATCATACATTGTGGTAAGTTATTATTGTCTAAAAAATTAACAAATCTTTATAAGGCACCTTTCACAACTTTAAACCTCATCTGCTTCATAGCCAAAACATAAAAAACTACAAACTTAAATTGTTTTACTTTGTAATTAAAATATGTTTAACCTAATAAATAAAAGAACTAAAATTTAACTTTTCCTAATAATGTTTTTTTTTTTTAACAAATCTTAAGATAGCAAAAATGAATTATAAATTTGTTTATTTTGGCATTCTTTATGTTTAGTATTAGTTTTTATATTTATTTCGAAGACCATTTAAGATTTTTGTATTGCACCAAAGGCTGCATTATTATTTATATATATTAATATATATCATTCAGGCTCAAAAATTTTTAGAAAAATTTAACCTAACAAAACAAAAACAAATCAAACAAAAACAATCACTCGTTTTCACAGTAAAAAATATATAAATAAAATATCAAATAATAACAATAATAGCTGTTTTGACCCATTATAGTAACCACAAATATAAGAAAAATAAGTTTGCAGATATTTGACAATATCAAGAAAATTACATAATTATGTTAAAAATATCAAAAAAAGAAAAACCCAAACACTAGTAAAACAGTACCAAAATATTACAAAAAATATATTTAGCACTACTTTTTGTAATGTTTTGTTACAAATCTTTTCAGAAATAAAAACTTTTTTTGAAGTTGTTATTTTGCTTGACATACATTTTTTATTGTATTGGTTAAATTATATTAAGAGTTATATATTATTTCTGTACTGGTCCCAGAGGCTATGGGGGAATCCTGTATGAGCCTTAGGAATTCACAAACAAAAGAAATTTCCTCTTAAGATTTCTGAATTGTGTATAATTGTGTATATTTCTGAATTGTGTTGCTTTAAAATATGAAGATTTTCTCCCGCTGATATTTAAAAAAATATTGCTCTTAATATAAAAATAGTTTTTTTTAAAGCTTTCCATCCTTCAAACTATTTAGTTTTAAATTTAATTATTGCTTGTGTAGCCAATCACCAGATTATTTAATGCTATGTAACGATCTCATGCTGATAAAATATTCAGTGATCGTCCATATACCTTTTAGCAAGATTCAACCCTTGCACATATACCAAAAATCCTTCAAGTATAGTGTGAGAAAAATTTCACTTCTTTCATTACAGTGTCAGAATGGCCCGTCAGCAGTCCAGATTTAAACCTTTTGGATTTCTTTGCATCTTTCATTACATTTTGGAATAACTAAAAATGTAAAATACAATAATTTAAATGATTTCAATAGTTTTTTTAGTTAAAATTTGGAATTAAATTCCTGAAATCTCCTCCATGCCAGCTGTGATTACTTTTTCAAGAGAGTTTGTATGTGTATCAAAGAAAAAGATTTAAAATCAATTATTTTTTGCATTATATATTAATGTAGCTTTCAGAAAAATATTGTTTTTTTATAACTTAAAACAGTCCTTTAGTTTTTTAACACAAAAACTGTGGGACATTAGTATACCACACGGGTTAAACCACAGATGTCACATTTTTCTCATTTTGAGAAAAATGAAATTTAGTGTTTAGTGACGTTAGATATCTGTTTGTTAATAATGTATTTAATTAAAAGTATATTTTTATGTCATTTTAGTCCTAGCACAATATATAAATGCAGTTTTTGTGCTAAATACAAGAATTATTTATTCTCAGTGTTCTTTTGAAAACATGACACTCATTTTAGACTTCTGTGATTTTTCCGTTGTAAATATATTAATTTATAAACTACGTTAGCTTATAACCTTTTAGAGCACTTATTTTTTTAAAGGTAGATGGTAACGCATTGTAATATACAGCCGTGACGCAGTACTCAGAAACCTAATTTCCATGGTTCAAACCCCACCTCTAGGCAAGTTTTCCGACATCAGTTGGGAAGGAGGTGTGAACTTCCTAATAAAGGCTTTTCCGCGGTGCTTTGTGATAATACCGTAAGGACTTCTTGAGGCACCTAAATCAATTTTTTTTTAAAAAATGCAACCACAATGTACTATGTGTGTGATGGGATAATAAAGCTGCCGCCCCCTCCCCCTCCTTCTTTTCATAAAAAAAAATTCATATAAAAATTATATTAAAGTTTTTTTTTTAACTTTATACAAATTAGCATTGCAACCTTATCTCTTCCCCAACCTCATCTATTTACCATAAATGATTCCTGTTTTTCATCACTTTATATGCGGTAGTGGTGTAGTGGTAGAGCGCTCGCTTCATAAGCGAGAGGTTCCAAGTTCGATCCCCACCATGTCCCTGGTAGTACCGCACTCAACTTGTTTCTCCGCGCAGCGGCCTTGTTCATCAAGGTTTGTGTTTCTTGGAGTTATAGAGTTGAGAGAGGGTTATAACCACAATTAAGTAGCCTCTTCGTCTGTAGTGGCCTTCTCGGCCTTGGGGAGGTGAAATAACAATAACAATAACAAATAACAATAACATATCAAGTTTGAAAAAACCATACAAAAAGCAACTGTAAACAACATGTTAATAAAAATGTGTTTTTTTTATTTGAAAGAAAAATAAAATAAAATTTTCATAAATAAGATAAAATAATATCAAATAATGTCTCATTTTGTCTACTTAGAAAATGGTTAGCTTCAATAAGTCTTTAAATATTTAACAAATAAGAGGCAACAAAGCTAGGTAGGCTTGTTTCAGTTTATCAGGCACTTCGATCTTTGATCTAACATATGGGATGTAACACATATAAAATTAAATATTTCTAATTTTTAATTTTATGTGTGTTTTAAAAAAAAATTAAATATTTCAATTTCTCTAAGTGAACATGTCTTAAATGAACAAACAACTAAGAAGTTTGGCTTAGAAACTCTGCAAATTTCAGAAATTTTTCTTGTATCATGTTTATATATAATGTTGAGTTGTTGTGGTTTTTTGTGAGATCGTCTAGTGTTTCTGCCAGAGACTTTTGATTGGCAATGGCCACATTTTTATCACATTCTATAGAGGTGTCATGCCTATACAGAATATGACATAGTTATAATTGATAATGAAACAGTAATGCTGTCAAGTTTTTCAGTTTTATGAACTAGATGATAAAATAATTTAAAAAGTTTTAGATTGATTTATAATTAAATCAATCTAAAACTTTTCATTTTATATTTTGCCTAGCACATAAATTGCAAATCAATTTAATATCCTTTACATTTGAGGTAACTGATAATTTAAAATCATGCAGTATAGAACATACATCATCAGACCATCTGTGTCCAACAGTTTCATCATAGCAATAAAAATATAATTTTTGATTTGAAAGTATATTAGTGTTTAAAAAATAAAACAGCTTTTGGCTGAAATAGTATACGTATTGGTTTCAAACATTTAGGGATTTTTTTTGGGAAATCCAAGCAAATTATTTCACAATTAAAAGCATGATGAATTGGAAGACATGTAGCTCTTTTCCTCTATTAAAACATTTAAGCTTTTCTCTGATGTCGCTGGAGCAATACATCTAAAATATTCTTTATTTACAATATATTGTTAGCAGTATCAAAATCAGAAT